TTAAATCCAAAGCAAAAGTATTGAAGTTATTTTCTTCAAACAGTCAGACCAAGCTCAAAGTGAGTACAGAACCCGGTTGAATGCATCCATTGATTGTATTCGATTTCTTCTAATGCAAGAATTTGTATTTCGTGGTCACAATGAATCTGAGAATTCAAGTAATCAAGGAAACTCTCTTGAGCTTCTTAGATTACTTGTTGTTCATAATGAGGCTATTAAAGATATTGTGTTGAAAAATGCTCCTGAGAATTTCGAGTTAACTTCGCCTGAAATTCAAAAAGACATTATAATTGCAGCTTCTGTTGAAACGTGTAATACTATTATAAGTCGATTTGGTGATGCACTTTTTTCTGTTCTTATTGATGAATCACGTGACATATTAACAAAGGAGTAAATGGTTGTTGTGTTGCGATTTGTGGACAAGAAGGGACATGTAGTTGAACACCTTTTAGGTTTTGAACATGTTACTAATACTACTGCTCTTTCACATAAGGTAGCTGTAGAAGATTTATTTGCTAAATATGGGTTAAGCTTGTCAAGATTGTGCGGGTAAGGTTACGATGGGACTAGTTATATGCGAGGTGAGTTCAATGGTCTCAAGACACTTATAATGAAGAAGAATGAATATGCATATTAAGTCAATTATTTTTTGCATCAATTGCAATTAGCTTTTGTGGTCGTTGCAAAGAATCATATTCAAATCGCGACTCTTTTCAACTTGGTTGCTAATATTGTGAGTGTTGTGGGAGCCTCATGTAAACGACGAGATCTTCTTAGGGAGAAACAAGCGACTAGAGTTATTGAATTACTCGATAAAGAAGAGCTTTCAAGTGGGCGAGGCCTAAATTAGAAAATTAATCTTACATGTGCTTGTGATACACGTTGGGGTTCACATTATTATTCTTTGATCAACTTGATTGATATGTTCTCATCAGTGGTTGATGTGCTTGATATGGTTTCAGAAGATGGTATAAATGCATAGCAAAGAGGGGAGGCAAATATTCTTTTGAATTTGCTACAATCTTTTGAGTTTGTATTCAATCTTTATTTGATGAGAAGTATTTTGAGAATCACAAATGAGTTGTTGTAGGCATTACAAATGAAAGATTAAGATATCGTGAACATCATGACATTAGTTCAAGTATCCAAGCAATGACTTCAAATGATGAGGAAAAGTGGTTGGAGTTATTTTCTTAATGATGTCACATCTTTTTGTGAAAAAACATTAGATAGTTGTTCCAGAGATGGACGATATCTTTAAAGCTTGAGGGAGGTCAAGACGGCCTCAAGAAAAGACAAATTTGCATCACTATCAAGTTGAATTTTTTACACTATCATAAATATGCAACTTCAAGAGCTAAATAATCGTTTTACCAAGTCAAACATTAATTTACTTCTTTGTGTGACATGTTTGAGTCCTTCTGATTTCTTCTTAGCTTTTGACAAGGAGAAATTGGTTCGTCTTGCCCAATTTTATCCAAAAGAATTTTCTTCACTAGAGCCCATGATACTTTCTGATCAGTTGGATAATTATATTATTGATATGTGCTTTAATATTAAGTTTTCAAATTTGTTGGGGATTGAAAATCTTGCTCAAAAAATGGTTGAGACTAAAAAACATGTGGTATATCCATTGGTCTACTTACTTGTGACATTAATATTGATCTTGTCAGTTGCGATTGCTACAGTAGAGAGAGCATTTTCGGCTATGAAGATTGAGAAGAATCGATTGAATAATCGAATGGACGATGGCAAATAACTTGATTATATACATAGAGAATGACATTTTCATTGCATTGATAATGATGTTATCATACAACGCTTTTAAAATATAAAATCATGTCATGGTCAATTGTAAAATACTATAGTTAGTCTCATTTTTTGTAAAAAAGCCTAATTAAAACCTTATTTTGTAATTTTTTTTTGTTTTTGTACCTCGTGTATATTGGTTTTTGGCTCTTTTGTCAATGAAATTTTAGGTATTATATATAATTTAAAAAATTTATTTGTCTTTAATTATAATCTTTAAGAAGACAATTTTTTAAACTTATAGTTAGTGTCCCGTCTCGTATAAATTCCTAGTTCCACCCCTGGTGGCAACCCTTGTGTGGTGTCAGACATTCTATGCTAAGTGTCAGATTCTTCTTGGCTGGCCTCATACAGTTAGTGGCTGACGTAGGTTGATTATCCATTTAGTTGACTTTATGACCATTCGACGTGTTTCGAGGTTCGGACTGTGGTAGGGATTATATCCATAAGAACTTATGCTCATACATTTTTTTATAAACTAAATTTACTTAATGAATATAATAATAAAGTTGAGTAAAAATATTTTTTTGTACAAGATTTAGGTTACTATTTGATAAAATATAATAAAAATTAGTATTTTTTTTCTTATAATACTACTTAAACGTGTTAATCATATCAATTTTTGTTTTGTTTGCGTTTGACATTAACTCAATTCATTTATTATCCGTATTAATGAGACATGTCATATACAGGTTCGTGTCAAAAAATAATCAACTTTAACCCACTAATTTCATGTTGATTTTAAGTTCTATTGTCGTATTACCTTCAACCAGTAAACTGGCCAACTGATTAATAAAGATTGAATCGACACTTTCAAATATTTTTCAAATTTATATAAGTCCACAGAAGAACCAAAAGTCAAGCACTTAGAATTACTACATCATGCCTCTACTCCACTCCACTTTTGTATTGGTCTCACGCATTTTAAACAACTACATACCTCATTAACTGAATGCCCACTCCACTTTTATGCTACACATGTCCATATTATGCCTTATTTGGCCGACCTCCCAATTACTTTAAACTTCGTATCTTCGGTTGTCTGTGCTTTCCATGGCTTAAACCCTATAACTCTCACAAACTTGAACCCAAATCCAAGTCTTGTGTGTTTCTTTGCTATTTCACCTTTCAAAGTGCATATAAATGTCTTGATCTATCTTCAAATGGGATCTACATTTTCTCCTCATGTTGTCTTTGGCAAAACTGTCTTTACATTGTCCCAAACTCAATCTGTCCCTTATCAGGTTGATGACTCCACCCTCTCTAAATAGGCTTCGCTACCCACTCACCACCCTTTCAATTTATGTCGCCTCGTACCCCAACATCAAATATTGTCAATTACTACGTAACGATAATGAAATGTTTAGTTATTCAGATATTCATAGAATAAGTGATCGTCTACATTATGCACCCAAAAATAAAAAGCAACATAAGGATTTTGTTTTTTTTGAACTTAAGGAAGATAAAAGACTGAAAATTGGAGATTTTTTTTTAATGATACACTCTCAATATAAATTTTCAAAATTAGCCCAAAATGTATTAATGCACCAAAATGTTTTAAAAAATGGAGGATCAATGCATAAAAGCAGTAGTGAGAAACCAATGAAATGTACACAATGGATTGAAAATTAGCCCAAGCTTAGTCAATCGCAACAAAGTAAATATAGGAGGACATACACACAAACAGAAGTGAGATTTTGATGCCAATGTCCATGTTCTTGGTAGCCCACAAATAAGTACGTCAAAAGAAATTCTAAATCAAACCCCACACAATCATTGAATACAATCCATAAGAGCTTTGATTTTGACATGCAAATTAGCCTATTTTCATGATATACAATGAACGACAGCCAACAATAAAACAACACAATGAATAAGATAGTCATATTTAGTATAAATAGCTAGACCTGCCACTCATGGGTATCCAGCAAAGCAGAAGATCTATACCTTAATACCAAGATCGAAATCTACACCCATTGGACGTTTTGAAACTAAAATCAAAGTATAGAAAAACCACGATATAACTCGAGCGATTTCAACAATCAGTCGTCAACATGGATTAAATCATAAAAGGGTTAGTGAGAAATTCAAGAAAAGACACATACAATCAAAGCATAATGCACCAAAATGTACTAAAAAAATTGAGGATCAGTGCATAAAAGCGGCAATGAGAAATCAATGAAATGTACATGATCGATTGAAAATTAGCTCAATCTGAGTCAATCGCTACAAACAAAAGCGAGATTTTGATGCCAATGCCCATGTTATTGATAGCCCACAAATAAGTACACCAAAAAATTTATAAATCAAACCCCACACAATATTGATTCCGACATGCAAATTAGGCTATTTTTATGATATACAATGAACAATGGCCAACAACAAACAACACAATGAGTAGATAGTCATATGTAGCATAAATGGCTAGATTTGTCACTCATGGAATCCACAAAGTTCTAAACAAACTAATCCAGCAAAGATGAAGATCTATACCTCAATACCCAAGACCGAAATCTACGTCCATTGGACTTTTTTAAGCTGAAATCAAAGTACAGGAAAACCACGAAATAACTCAAGCGATTTCAACAATCAGTCATCCTCATGGATTAAATCAGAAAAGGGAGAACATGTATATACTGTTTCCAAAAGCATTGAGCACCTTTTGTGGTCCTTTTTTTAAGAGTAGGTTTATACTGTTAATTTATATAATGTTACTATTCATATGTTTGTTCCACATTGGTTACATTAAGAGACTTTACTACTCTGTTGTACTATAAATCAATCTCCTCATGTATATGGTAAACATACCAAAACAATATACAATTTGCTAGCTATTCTCCATTCTCTTCTTTCACATGTTTATTAGAGCCTACGCTCGTGAGTCCTTCTAGCCAAGAATAGTATGCTCCTATGGTTACCCTGTGAGGGATCCTCCACATCAGACTCTTGAGGCTCTTCTCCTTTGGGCTATCCTCGAACAACTTCTTCCGATCATCATCAGTTGCCAAAGGTCGGCGTCATTCTAGTCATTCTTTGGCGATGTTCCGATCGCCTCCCAACCATCCTCTTGTGACCTCTAGTTATCTTCCGACAACTTTCGGTTCATCCTTCGATGACGTTTCGACCTACCCCGACTGTCCTCCGATGACCTATCGGTCGTCCTCCAGTGATGTTCCGACTTGCCACAACCATTAATTAATGACCTTTCGGTCGCCCTTCGACGATGTTTTGGCTTGTCCCAACAGTCCTCCGACGACCTTTTGACTTGTCCCAACAGCCCTCTGACGACGTTTTGGTTGTCCTTCAGCGATATCTCGATCGCCTCTCAGCCATCCTCTGGCGACCTTTGGTTGTCCTCCGACAACTTTTTGCTTGTCCGACAACGACTTTTTGATCACCCTCTGATGATGTTCTAACCTGTCCCCACTTTCCTCTAACAACCTTCATGTCCGATCATCCTCGGATGACTTCTCGATCGCCCTTCTATGACGTTCTAACTTGCCTTGGCTATCTTTCAGCTATCCTCCGACGACATTTCGATTGCCCTCAGGCGATGTTAATTCCTATCGCCTCCCGACCATCCTCTATCTACCTCCTGGTGTCCTCCAACAACTTTCTAGTTGTCCTCCAACGACATTCCGACCTGTCCTAGCTATCCTCCTCCGATGTTTCGGTTGCCCTGCATCGACGTGGCGACCTATCCTAGCCAGTTTTTTGTGCTCATTCTAGACTCATCAGGTCTAGTTTTTTGTGCTCATTCTGGTTGCTTTAGCTAATCAACTGACTGATATCTTCATAAAGGGTCATCCACCGAGTCGCCACCGGAATTTGGTTTGCAAACTCTAGTTGGTATCTTCAATTTCATCTTGAGTTTGAGGGGGATGTTAATGATATAATGTTACTATTTATATATTTGTCCCATATCGGTTAGATTAATAAACTTCACTACTCTCTTGTACTATAAATCAATATCTTCATGTACATGGTAAACACACCAAAATAATATACATTTGCTATCCATTCTCTATTATCTTCTTTCACAGGTGAAACATTATCAAACTTCACTTTCATGTCTTCGATCATTGTGTGTTTGTTTCTCGGCATTTCTATCAAACGAACTAAAGTAATTGAACATAGCTGAAGATAAAGTACCTCACGAGGAGTGTGGTCTTCACGTCAACCTTGTTTCCATGAAGAACAATTTGCATATTTCTAAAAGTCCTGTAATTGACATAAAAAATAAGCCATAATCTCAGTTCCTATTTGAACAATACAAACGGATCAACAATATGCAAAGTTGCAATCAAAATTTGTATGGAACATGAAATCTAAAAAACTAATAAAAAACCCGTGGAGATATCGGTGCCAATATTGAAACATATTTTTAATATCACTAGGGAAGTGCCCGCGTACAAAGCACGCTATGTAGAACAAATTTTTGTAAGGTACCAAAATTTTTGAGTCTAATACGAATGCATTTGCATAACAATGTATATATAATCTTATAAATCAAAATTTAACGTGATTTCAAATTACATAGTAAATTAACACAAAATGTGATCAATTTTATCAAGTCAATTTTATGTCAAAGTTTATTCGAATCTCATCAATTTCAAGGAATTAGTTTTTTGTAAGATTAATTGCATTAGAGGTTCCTAAAGTATAAAATTTATTTTATTTTAGTCTCTAATATTTCAATTGCATTTTTTTGCCCCTGAAGTATTGAATATGTTTCTATGTGATCTCTCAAGTAGACAACATTAAAATTGTTAACGATTTTTAACTATAAACTTGTCATGTGATATCTAAATATGGGCAAAAAATAATTTGCGCCGCTTTTAACCTAAATTTGAGTAGCCCTTAACCAAAAATTTGTAATAGAAGTAACTCTTGACCAAAATTTGGAAAACTCATAATCAAAACTGTGTAATTTGGATAAGTCTTTAACCAAATTTTGGGTAGGTCTTTGACCAAAATTTGGGTAAAAATTTGGTCAAGAATTATCCAAATTATTTTTTTACCCATATTCAGGTATTACATGACAAGTTTATAATAAAAAATCTTTAGCAATCTGGACGTTATCTGCTTGAGGGATCACACAGAAATATATTCAATACTTCCGGGACTAAAATCTTACAATTGAAATATTATAGACAAAAAATGAGACAAAGTCCATACTTTGGAGATCTCCATTACAATTAACCCTTTTTTTTTAATAAAAATATAGTCAATCCATTAAATCTAATCAATTACCTAAATTAAGCTATATTTATCCTGAATTCAAATCACATACAATCATTTCCATTAGATACATGCAGATGATAGTAACAGAAAGCAACACAAGTATTCATACACATTGCAAACTATAGTGAGATTATGATTAGATACAAAAATCAATAAAAGTAGGATTCTTTACGATTAGATACGTGCAGATGGTAATAAAAAAGCATCATGATGCAATTAAAGGAGATAAATTTGACGTCTAGAAACTCTAAACCCTTAATCAGCAAAAGAATTGAGAAAAAAAAGGTATAATTGTCATATAAGTAGTCATACACATTGCAGATTATAATTGGCTTACGATTGGTATTATACCCGTAGCCTTACGATCATCATCAGTCATATGATGAGAGTGATCATATCAACCTGCAGCGACAACAATACATGTTAAAGGTTCAAAGTTTGAATACATTTTTGAAGGTAAATATAAAAACAGACCAAATAAAAAAATTAAAAAGTTTGGTAAATATGTAGGCAAAGCTAAAAGTTAGCATACTGCAGAAAATTAGTCACTGATTCAACCTACATCAATTAAGCACACTGCATGATGCAAACATGTTATGATATGCGATTTTTAAATATATGGGTAATGATACTAAGATCTAATTTGGAGAAGACATTGAATTTCCGTATCAGATGAGTCCATTGCCATTATATACTGTATTCAGTTACCAATTTTGTATCTCAAATGAATTGTAAATAGTTATTGAAAATATAAAACAGACAAAACTGTAGTTCTTCAATGCTGTTTATAGCAACTTTTATGGACCGTGGGATAATGTGTTTCATAATCAAGAAAAGCATGAAATAGAGACGACAATCACAAGTAAAAGCAATTTACCTATAAATTTATCGTATCCTCCGAAATTGGGTTTTTTTAAGGGAATAAATATGATTCTATTGTTAAAGAAAATAGAGACGCTACAAAAAAGCTTAAAACACACCCAATATCTACACGCCACACAAAGAGTACGCGTCTAGTTTAGTTTCACATAATCTCTCACAACCCGAGAGATTAAGCATCCAAAGTGAATTAAATAAGTCTAAAAAAACGAGATGAACAACATTTACATCTCACATCTTGAAAGGCTAAGAAATCACATACCAAAAATAAGTAGAAAGCATGTAAAGGTGAAAATGAGAAAGGTAAATGAAGATGTTCATGGCATCTTGTTCTGACCCTAAAAAGATTGGGACCATTGCCCTTATGAAAGATCGATATCAATGGAACCTCAGAAGCATTTTTGTGGCATATGCTACTTTTTTCTTCAGCATATCCAAGTAGAAAATGCGAATTCGCGTACTATAAGTTCTACACGATCATGTTACTATGAATCCTGGAAGCCTTTGACAAGGAAAGCAGTGGAGGTTTGGGGTGAAGGAATTGCAGGGCGTTCTCCTTTGACAAGACAGCCCCATGCAAATGCATTCTTCTGTTTTGCCAAAGGAGACTTGCCCTGCAGTTCATTAATCCCAGTTATTTAGCAAGCTCTACCTCAAAATAAAACAATTTTCTTAAGTTATTTAGCAACCTACTTTATTATGTCGTTGTATGTATTTTGCTCGTTTCACAATAGATTTAATGCATGCGGTTTTGTGGGTTGTCTTTAAATTTTTTGATATTCACATTTTTCACGTAAATTTATGTGTTTCGTGTGTGATTTCTTTGTAATTATTTTCTTATTATGTTGTTATCTTATGTTGGATCATGAAAAGTTAATTCTTAATGATTTCATTTGCTTTTGATTAATTTGCTTCTTGGTGTTTATTATTTGACAGTTAATTGTTAATGAGATTTGATAAAGATGATGAATTTCAGCATAAAACGTACCTAATGAGTCTGAATCATGCTGCCCCTTGATTCAACCTTCTGTTTCTTGGTCTTTAACCTTCATCGAATGAACACATGGAAATCCAAATCGCGTAGCTTCACACTTCACTGAGTTGTCGATGTGATTGTTCTTCTTTTCAAATTCTTGATGGCTTCTCTTTGGTATAGCAACTTCTTTTTCTAATCTGTTTCTTCTTTCTTTTGAGGTTACTCCAGGAAACAGATCCAGTGGAAATGAGGTGGGAGCTGTAGCTCAAAAGATTATAGCACATGGCTCGAACCACAGTGTCGGGGGGTGGGGGGGTTTGATTATTAGGGACTCTCTACCACTGAGCTAATAGCCTATCGTATGAGCCTCCTACTAGAGGCCCGCACCCTGATTTGAGGGCAAAGAATTTCTTACTACTATCATATAGTATTCATCTCTATGGGGTGATAAGTAAAGCAACCGTACCCCTTTTGATCTCTCAAAAATTTCATTCAGCTTCCTCTTTCATAGACCCATCACAATTTTCACCAATGGAAAATGTTGGATAACATGCATCTTCCACCATCAAAGACGACATGACAACCTTTTTTTCATAACCTGTCCCAAAATAATCAAATGAGTCAATCTCGGAACATACATAACCCCTTGAATCGGTTTCTTACTGAATTTGGTGCCAGGAGAAACAACTCCTTTACCTTGAACTTGAACTTTGCTACTATCTGCCATTCAGACTAATTATGTTCTCACAAATTCATCAATTTCAACAAAATATATTTATTTTTGGTCATAAAGTTACCACAACCACTATCTAGGTACCAAACATTCTTAGTTATAGTAGCGATGCAAGTTACGAAAATGGTTTACTCATTTTCCTTTGTACCAACACTGTCTTCTTCATGAAACTTTTCTTTGTTTTCATGACTAATTGTGACAACACACTTTTTTCTCCATGTCCATATTTCTCACATATGGAATAACGAGGGGTGTTAGAATTTTTACAACAATCTTTTTCATTGTGACCTTTCTTTTTACAATGAAAGCGTTTAGCAGTACTTTTGTTGTAGTGACTTTGATTATTAGTGGATTGAATTCTTTCCTTACTTTAAAATCCCGGATTTCTACCTTTTTTCCATAGTTATGCCTTGAAAAAAAGGCCTATTCCCCAACATTTTCAACTGACCTGTTAAAGCCTTTCCTCATGAGTCCTTTAAATGAGTGAGAGAGAAAAAGAGAAAAAGAGAAAATGCTGCACTATTCTAAATCCTAACAGCTAGAACTAGATTATTTTACTTTTGAAAAACATGCAAAATACTAAAAACAGCTTTAGTAACATCTATCAAGTTTGATTTTTTTCCAACATTTCCATGTCTTTTTGTGTGTGTGTGGGTGGGTGCAAGTTGTACATAAATTGCATACTGGTTCTTGTAGAAAAATTTTTGTTTTTTTTTGGTGGAGATTGAGTAGATAAAGGACTTTTCCTCTGTCAAAAATATTTATAGACTACTCTTACCACCCCAAAAAAAAATTAATAGACTTTATGTAGCATGTAGGTAGGGCTATTAGTCGAGTCAAATTTTGTAAAATTGAGCCCGAGCCTATCGAGCTCGTTTTTTTAAATGAGTCAAAAAAATTGTTTAAGCTCGACTTGTTTAAAATGTGAGTTCAATCTGCATAGCTCGACTATTTTATATATAAACGAGTCGAATTTTGCGAGCTTGAGTTGAGTCTTTTTAGGTTCATTTTTTTTTAAATAAACTTAAAAAATTATTCAAATTCAATTCATTTGAATTATAAGTCGAACTCAAGTCGAGTCGAAGCCAAATCCGAGTAACAACCCTACTCATAGGCCTGTTTAGCATTGTTCCTCGGAAGCAATTGATATTTCAACTTTGTACACACAGGCAATGCAACCAAAACATGGATTTCTTACTTTCCCAGTTCCCAATTATTTTCACATATGAAATATTTACTAAATAATTACAACAAATGCACGCAAATCCTAGTTTTTTTTTTTTTATTAAGTTTATGTGATCATGTGAACCCAGATTCCATAGACGAAGAGCATATGTAAAACCATAACATGCATGCAGACAAGAGTGTACATATATCTCTGTGTGTGTGTGTGTGTGTGAGAGAGAGAGAGAGTAGACAAAGAAAAGAGATGGGGAGGTGAGCTAATAACATTGAAATATCAGTAAAGAGAATACACAGAAAAGGACGCCCTAAACCCTGAAAAGAGATGCGTAGTAGTGTAGCAGATACTAAAGAACAAAGCTACAAAGAGTGACTTAAGGAGGCATGTAACTGCTAAATTTCAATCTGCCTTTCTGTCTTTTTGTGTTGTAATGCATGCCTTCAAAGTCAATTCAAGCCTGTGAAGAATGAGAAAAATCAGACCACTGGTCTTGTCATTCCTATCAACATGTACGGTTCTGTATGTGCTTGCTTTTTCTATCACAAGGGAATGAAAAATGTTTTTATTCACTATTCTATGTCCAACGGCTTTCATAGTTGTTTCTACCATATAATGCAATATCAGGTTAATTCCACATTTCTGACTTTGTTACAAAAAAAAAAGGGTATTATATATATTTTAATTTATATTAACAGTTTTTGTTCAACGAGAGAGTCGGTGTGAGTTTTTTCTTTTTTTTTGGGGGGGGGGGGGGGGGCTGGGGTTGCTGAGTAAGGGAATCCAAGTCCTAATAATACCTAAATAAAGTCTAATTGCAGTTCTAATGGACCCGATCGTGTCTAACTGAAATATACTCAGATTTGATTTGATTGTGATTAGTCAAGCTTGACTATTGAGATTAAACTGTTATTCAAGCTTGGTTTAACAAAAGTTTGCAGGTATTCTAGTTGAACTTCAACCCATGAAACTGAGTCTGCTTTGGAAATAAAGCTAGTGCCTATCAATGGGCATGGTAATTGAGTCTGCTTTGGAAATAAAGTATGATGTTGGTTTTCAAGCGAAAACATATATAATATCTCATTAAACTATGTACTTACCAGTTACCACTCTGTTGGCCTGGATATAAGTGGAACAAGTCTCTCTGAAACTCGGGTTTAATCAATTCGACCCATGGACGCTTGCTACTAACCTAATTAAAAGAAAGTAGTTGCACCTTGACAAATACCTGCAAGTTTTGGTGCAATGATAAATACTTCTATCCAACAATTGGGTATTAGTACGAGGTCACAGATTTGAATCCCAGAGAAGTTGTTGAGGGAAGAGTGTTGGCTTGGGTAGACGTGCAACAAGTTTCTCTGAGACTTGATGGAGGGTTTAACCAACCCGACCCGTGGGCGTTTGTTGCTAAGCTAGTTAAAAGAAAATAGTTGTGCCTTCACTACTACCTGCGAGTTTTAGTGCAACGGTAAACACTTCTATCCAACAATTGGTATTAGAGCGAGGTCACGAGTTTGAGTCCCAGGGAAGTTGCCCGGAGAGATTGTTGGCTTGGGTAGAGGTACAACAAGTTTCTTAGAGACTAGGTGGAAGGTTTAACCAACTCGACCCATGGACGTTTGTTGCTAAGCTAGTTAAAAGCAAGAAGTTGCACCTTTATTAACATCTGTGAGTTTTGCTGTAATGGTAAACGCTTTAATTCAACACACTAATGGTTCAATCATGGATTGCTGATAATCTACTTTATGATCAACAAAACACAAAGGGCAATATTGTAATTTAGATCACTTGACGTTGCATGTGATACAATTAATTCGACTCTAGGTCCAGCACTAGCTAATAGTAATAGAAGTTGCTGATGACTCTCCTACTAGCAAAGGAAAAGGCAATATGTTTTTTACAGTAAGCGCAGGTCTCATGAAATCTATGTCAGTTGTTAGAATCAAATGAAAGTTGAAGGGCCATTTTATTCATTATGGGGCATAGATCTAGGCGAGTTTGTTCAGTCAATCACCAAAAGCAGGGGTGAACCACTACGTGCGAGACCCCTTCACCTTGATTTCTTTTGCATGGTCTGGGAGTTGGCCACAGCAGGGCATTGCGGCATGCCAAATATAAAGTAATATTATTAAGACTTAATTTCAGAATCTAATGTATTGTATTCATTAAATTAGCAGTGTGTTACACCATTCAATGAAGTACAGTATCACTCTAGCGATCACAATGCATTAGATCCATGAATTAAGTTCATACAAGTAACATTAGTAACATTCATATGGAAACAAAAGTAGAAAGAGAATGCTAGTACCTATGGAAAAATGAACCTGAGGGGGGAGTTTTGGTAAGCCCAGATGTGGAAAAAACCATAGAATAAAACAGACATGGATTTGTTGTTAGATCATGTGACCCAGAGCCCTGCACAGAGTTTGGCAGACAAAGTGAACTGGGGAGAGAGAGAGAGAGAGATGGGGGTTGTCTCGTGATGACTGGAATGCTAGGTGACTGGCTATCTGACTCTGACTACTCCATTCCCATTCCCATATGGAATCTCATGCTTTGCAAATGTAAGCTCCAAAATGTGTAATGCTTAGCCTTAGGCGTAGCTAGAGAGGGCCTGCACCTCCCAACTTGTATCAGTACTTGGTGTCTCGATGCCTAAAGCTGTGTCAAAGTATTAGTCAGTTTCAGCTAGCTGTGCTGAGCATTGACGCTGCTGTTTGTTGGCCTAATCTTTGGCCATTCCTTGCCAATCATCACATGATAATATAAACATTGTCTGATTTTTGTGTAAAAGAACACAAACATTTATTTACTAGACAGAGTAATAGTTTTTGTATCTAAAAATGTAGCCTAGTTTGTTGGTCAATGATATAGTCCCCCAAAATAAAAAGTTCAAGGTTGTAGTTACAATAATGTACTTTATTGAACCATGTTAATTACCATATCACTAGGTCAGAATATTAGGTCTAGTTGGATTACTCTAGGAAAGATTTATAATAAAATAGAGTTTGTATTTGTCTCGAAAACGTAAATTTTCATAAAAAGTGGGGGATATTGGTATGAAGAAAAGAGTCGGGATGCATCAGTTGATTCTAGTTTGAGGACCTAATGTAGTCAAGTGATTAAAGTGAAATGGACCTCAAGTAGTGTTAGACCCACTACTCGTTTAACAATAACAATGCATTAGATCTGCAAATCAAGTCCGGATCAATAGCATCATTCTTTAGATGCCACACTTCAAGTCCACATGCATAATTAAGAAGTTCTATGGTGATCAGCCTTTAATAAAGTCTGATAAAAATACCATAGTTAATCAAATTCTCATTTTAAAGTCGAGTATTTTTTAAAAGAGATAAACAAATTAAATCAAATTTTTAGATCGAAATAAAATTACTCATTAATTATTAAATCGTAAATAGTATACATGCATGTGGGTCCCCATATTTTCTTATTCTAGGAAGGCGTTGGAATGTAAGAATATAGCTTGACATTCCAAGATCCCAGATCACGTAAGCACCCACTCCCCTCTTCTCCTATAAAAACCAGGCCATGGCAATTGAATTCAACTCATATTCCACACAGAGAGAGGGAGAGAGATGGCATCCAGGGTGAAGAAGAGAATGGCATTGCGCAGAAAGTTTCACATCCTCAGAACTCTAACCAACTCCAAATCTGTAATACAATATATATATTAACACTTACGTTTTTAGTTTCGTAGCATTTCATATCTTGGGTACAAATTTTTCATGCTCATAATTGTCTATTGCTTTTGTGAAGGTTAATAGAAGCTCCATAATCATGGATGCTTTTCTCTACATCTACAATTTGAAACTCAAACTAGAAGCAATGGAAAGAGAATATCTGTACCTAACAGAGCATGTCCAGGTTCTCTCCCTCTCTCTCTCTCATACACACATACACACTCTATCTCTTTGACCCCCTCAACTTTGAGCAATGTAAAACCAATAACAATAGTTGAGAGCGAGATATGTGAGCAACTCAATTGGTGACCGAACAAAATAAAACTCCAAGAATAGTTGAAGTAGTAATAGGAATAAGCTGTAAATTCAAACACCCTGAGTTCAAATTTTGGCAACCTCTTGGGACCAGGTCATGAGAGATTCATCTCTCATGAATATCCTAGTGTTAGTATGAATGACCTATCTTTGATCAGACTGGAGAGGTTCGGACTCCCTTGACTGTTAAAAAAAAAAAAAAGATTGAACAAAATAAGATCAAGGGTAAATGTGAGATTTACTCATAAGTTTTATTTATTTATTATTCTTTTGTTTGTAGGAGGTGAAAGTGGAGAGGCTTGGAAGAGGATTTCTAGTTAGGGTGACTTGCAAGAAAGACAAAGACTTGCTAGTATCAATCTTGGTGGCATTTGAAGAAATGAAGCTTAATGTTGTCCAAGCTAAGCAGCTCTCATGCAACTGTTTCTTTGGCATGGAAGCCATTGTTGAAGCAGCTTATGATGACCACCAAGCTGTGGAAGTGAGAGATGTCACTCAAGCTGTTCTCAATGCCATTCAAAAGCCAGCTGAACAAGGGACACTTTAAAAAGTGTCGAGGTGCCTATATTTAATAACTCCAAATGACAAAGCTAGTGACATGGTGAGATAATATCTAGGAAGAATGTGGCATGTCACTTTCATTTTGAAGGTACAAAATGCAAAAATCTATAAATTTCATGGAGTTTGGGTGATTTTAATTTGTTATAGTATTCTTTTTTCTTTTCCACGAGAATAGGAAAATGATAATATATATGTTCAGAAATAAACTTGAAAAAAAAAAAGAAGCACTCCACAAGCACACGAGATTATGTAATTTGGCTTGAAAGTCCATTTCCACGAGCAACCGAGACAAAAACTCAATATAAACGATGAAGATTACAAAGAGTTTGTAACAAAAGAAAAGAATGTGAACCACTTCCCTTTATGTTCTAGAAACTTAGAACATTTGTCAATCTAATGTAACCTCAATTAGGAGACTATGGCTCATGAAAGTTTTTAATTGAAATCTGAAGTATTGTATACCGGATTGATGCGAATCCAAAAGAATACAAGATATCAGCAATAAATTATACCAAAGGTGTTTAGAAAAAAAAAATAGCAACAACAAAATAATAAGTGAAATAAAAAAAATGGTGTATGAGATTTTCTATAGAGTTAAATAGGGTTGTTGCATGTATTCGTTGGTGGGACTGGCAATTTTTACAAAGTTGAGACTAACCTTGAGCTGGTCCAATTATGAGGAAGATATACAAAAATTTTAGTGTGATCAGAAGGATTTATTATATATTCTTTGCCGTTTGTTTAGAAAATTAAATTGTTTGAATATTTTTGAAAATGCTATATGTTTCAAAAAATAAACAAATAAACAAATAAAATGTATTCGGACATTATCTCCTATGACATGTCTATAACATGGTGCATCATGCGAACCTCGGCCCAGGCCCAAAAAAAGTACTTGAGAGAACAAGGTCAAGTTGTAAAGCAAATATTCAAAGGAATGGTTACCTGTCTGCAGTGTTACACCATGTCAATAGTGTTAATTATGTGGTAAAATCGTTTAATAAAAAAGTAATGAGGCACAAAAATAATTTTATGCACCACCTGTCGAATAATTAATATAGGTAATGAATGCAGTAAGTATAAATGTGAAATTCACACGAACAACACAGATATAAAGTGATTCAGTCAAAGTGACTTATTCTACTTTGAAGACGGCAACAACACAGATATAGAGTGGTTCGTTCAGGGTGACATACTCCACTTTGTAGACGGCAACGGTGGACGGTAGTCTTTATTGATGAAGTATGTGTGAGAGAAAGAGAGAGCACAAATGTATGCTCTTGGTACCTATGAGAGAGATAGTTGTGTAAGGTGTGTAGAGAGATACCCCTCCCATATAGAGAGAGCTTACAATTTAAAGGCATAGAGCCATAGTTGAGACAGTGGCTGTAGTAGGTACGTTTTTAGCTTTTAAGGGAGGATAGCTACAACTAGGATACATACAATTAGAGATAATCTTGATCTTGGAGAGTGAATATCCCGATCATTGCTCCTCACGTGTGCTAATCCTCTTGGATCCCTTAGACTTTAGACTGAGTTGAATCCACAAGTTGGACTTGACCTGCCTTGTAACTAATTTCAACTTACTTAATTAATTGGGTCTGACCCAGTAGCATTTGGGCTCATCAAGTAGTGTCAATTATATGGTATATCCTTTTAATAAAAAAACTAAGAAATTGGATAACCCTTTACATGGAAGTGATTATATATTATATGAATGTATAGTTATTGAATTTTGTGGGATGCCAATGACCCTACGATCCAATGATAGGGTTCAAGTTCCTCTCCCCAAAAAAAAATTAAATTTTGTGGGATTCACTTGCCTACTTGTTTACTTATTATCATGTCACATTATTGATGTTTTCTTCAAATTGTGCGGTCATAAACCTAATAAAAACTCAGGTTGATATGTCAAAACTCGTTTAATGAATGAGTTGTACATGGAAGATTTTCTACAATAATTTAAGATAGCGACTTTCAGCTTGGTGGATCTGCAACAATCACATGATTAGAAAAAAATGGTCAAGTGAACACCTGGCTTATTCCCTTTGAAACTTAAGTCAGTATAAGATGAGAGGCTTGAGCTCAATATATCATGTATCGTGGTTTCAAGTTACATATCTTTATTCATTTTTCTGCGCAGTATTTATACCTGAAATAACAATGAGTGCAAAAACTTCAAGTCACATCTGAACATTTAATGTCTGACGCTTTTACCCATGAAGATCTGAACGTTCTCCACCCAAATCTTCACATATTCAATGCTAGGATGATAGGACAAGTGCTCGGGAACACGCCGAACACCTATGGCTATTCCCGAGTATTCAAGTGTCTATGATCGACGTCTGACACCTATTTCTTTGTGTTCAATACTCGGGGGAACAGTACCTCGAGGCGCATCGAGGAGATATACTCGGCGTAGTAGCTCATAATATCTAGCTATCATGATCGCAGGCCTAGGGTCTGAGAATGTAGGGACTCATTAATGACACTGTCTCCATCACTCGCATCACCATAAATAAATGGTCAAGTCGCATTAAATGCGGGTGTCAGCTTGAGCACTCGGCTCTTCCGAGCGGTCATCTCTCGGCTCCACTTCTCGGTGTCCTTTGAATTCCATAACGGCTACAATTTTACACGTGTCGATTCGGGGGTTGCTGAACCGCCTCAAGTCCCGCCAAGTTGTGTATGGGCTAATTTAATTTTGTCACAACACGATGTATAGAATTCAGACACGATACAATCCCTAGGATTTGGCAATTGTTAGCTTTATCCATCAAATTAACATGAAGCCAACATTATGTTGTTTGGTATGAGCTTAGTCTTATCAGATTTTAGTCAAAATCTAATAAACCGTCAAACTTTTCTAAAAACGGTCATCTAAATGAAATAATTTTAACATGATATAACTTATACATCTTATACACACGACATGACATGATTACTTCAAATTAAACAGGCCCTTTTAATCCTTCCGCAAAAAACAGGCCCTTATAGTCATTTTGATATAAAATTGATCCAAAATGTACCGAGTATGCTTTATGCTTTTAAGTATTAACAGGTTCGAATTATAATTAGATTAGCCAATCAGGCTCATTTGATAATTCGATAAACATGAACCGACCATAAACAAGACAAAATAGCCTATAGACGACCTAAAATCAATAGAAAAGAATTATATATGAATAAATAGAATATGTCAATAGAAGAAGGGATGAAGTCAAAGTCTAGTGGATGTGATAATAGAGACGAATTGTAAATTTAAATATTTTGAGTTTAAATCTTCACAATATTTGGGGATAGGTTATGAGAGATTTATTTTTCATGAATATCCTAGTTCCGACATGGATGATTTTTCTTTAATCGGATCAGAGAGAAAATTTGTCGAAGTGCTCGTAAGCCGGCCATAACACACTTGACAGTTGGAAAAAAGAAGGAATTTAATAGATGGGGAAGATCACAATACAATTTTTATAATTTTTTAATATTAAGTTATAACTTTTTGAAATATAAGTTATAATTAACCATAAATGTTATAATTTTTAAAGGAGGAAAGTCCTTTAAATATAACCATAAATGTTATACTAACCATGATCAATATCAAAATGTTATAATTAACCATAAAAATTATAATTTTTAAAGGTCAAATTACAATTCACAAAAAAAAAATTACAACTCACAAAGAAAAAATTATAATTGATTTAAATAATTCACGATCTATCTTGAATTATCTTAGCTAATTGTAACTTTATTTTTTAAAAATAGTAGCTTTTATTTTTAAAAATAGTAATTATTGGTGGGGTACCAATTTTTTTTTTAATAGATAGAACATATATTTTGGAAAAAAAGTGCCCCCTGCCTACTCAAATTTTCACAATAATTAAAGACTATGTAAAAGTCTATGTTTGAAGTCTTAATCATCATGACCGTCCGTCATTAGTTTAACAGGTTGATGGAACTCCTTGGATTATTTTTTTGATGAATTTTGCACACTTTTTTATTTATTTATTTAATGGTCAGAAATATCTGAGTCAGTTTACGCACACTTTAATTAATTTCTTCTCCTATTCGGTAAAAGATAGATCATTCACGCTGAAACTAAAGCATTCATGAGAGATAAATTGTTCATAGTCTAATTTAATTTGCAAGATTTCTATAACCGAACCAGACGAGGTCAAATACAAACACCTTATGTGAAAAAATTATTTTTACGACTTGATTTAGTAAATGAATCAAAGTCACCTACTACCATGGATTCTTTATGGGTCTCGCTCTCTCTCACAATCACCAACATTCATCGGTTGATAATATACAACGTTAAGGAATTTATATTTGATATTCAAAAACCCAACAATGTGATGTCATAGAGCTTAGTCTAACAACCACATGACATGTAAATAATGACAGCAAGCATTACAAAATTTGTGCCAAACATACACATTGTGTCCGAGTGTTGCATCTAATCTTTTTTGTCAACTACTTAATGTTTTATATACATGGCATATACTATACTATGGTTGTCTTGCACAAAAAGATAACGTTGGGAGGCATTTCCAAGGGACAACATTAAAGAGGAACATACGAGGAAGCTTCCCTTCATTGGAATATTCATAGTTGTGTGAAAACCTTGCCTAAGAAAATAGTGTATATATATATGACATTAGAAAATGATACACACTGCACAGAGAAAGAGAGAGGTGCAACATGTGAGTGAAGAAAGTCAGAGAAGGAGCAATAAATAAAAGTTAGATTTAATTACACTTGAGGTCTACAAAGTATAAAATTTATTTTATTTTGTTCCCTAATATTTCAATTATATAATTTTAGTCTTCAAAGTATTGAATAAATTTCAATGTGATCCCTCAAATTGATAGCGTTCAGATTTCTAACGATTTTTTATTATAAACTTGTCACGTAATACTTTAATATGAGTAAAAAAATAATTTTGATAAGTCTTAACTAAATTTTTACCTAAATTTTGATCAAATATATTCCTAAACTACACAGTTTTGAG